AAGGTACAGCGAGGGAAATACTTTAGGATCTCTTTGGGAGGGAAATGTGGTGTATAGAGCCATACTGGACGATGTGTTCCAGAAATTGAAACCGTTGCGTGATGATGCAGATTCACTGTCTCGGTCATCGATAAATCTTCAAAAGTGTCATGTTGCTCTAAGTCAGATGAATCATACTAGTGACATGAATTCCGTCTCGATCATAGAGCGCATTCTCCGCAGGTTATCGAAGGATGCTCGTCGAAACTGGGCAAGGTTGGCTGACTCAATCGACAACCCCGGAAAACAGACGGGGTTCTCTGACCTATTCAACTTCGTTTCTCGAGAAGCCCGAATCGCTCGCAGCCCATATAGTATGATCAATTGAAGCTCAGAACACCATCGTCCTCAAAAGCAGCAACATCGGGTAGGCAACGAAAGGCGTCATAACATATTCGCTATTTGGAAGGGAACAAATGACACGCCTTGTTTGCGAAAGCAGATATGAGCTGGCGCGATGTCGTAGGTTTACTGACCTGCCAACGCAAGCAAGATGGCTTGTGGCGAGAGGGAAGCGACTATGTTTTGTATACTTAAAACCGGACCATGCCAGTAACAGGTGCGACTTCCCTAAGGAGTGTGGTATAGAGAGCTGCTCGGGGTCTCACCATTATCTGTTGCATGTAATACCAGATGCGAACAAAACCACACTGTTTGGTTTGTGCAGCTCGACATCTCAGACGGAATCAAGAACCTGCCCTGGCGTCTTACCGGTTCGTGTGAATGGTCTGCGAGGCAGCGTTCTCACGTACGCATGGTTGAATAGTGGGTCGGACGTAACATTGGTAACGATAGACTTACTTGATGAGATTGGTCTGACCGGCGCTCCAACAACTTTGAATTTATCAACAGTGAGTGGGACCTCTACTGTTGAGGCTGGAAGTCTCAGAATCGAGTTTGAATCGGTAGATTAAGGTGAGGCCGTAGTGGCTTAACAAGCCTTTTCATTATGCTCTCAGCCCATCAGCCCACGAGTCATGATCCCAACGAAGATAACTAGTCAATATAATCACTTGAAGGACACTACATTTATAGAGCTCACTGATAAGCGTGTGAGAATATTGATAGGAAACGTTCCAGAGGCACATTGGCCTATGGAGAAAAAGTTGGGCAAGCAAAAGGAACCTTACGCTGTTATGACACCTTTGGGTCGGGTTCTACCCGGCCCGTTGTCCGCAGGACATAGAGTCTGGAGACAAGTGCACCGCGTAAGCATGAAAGACGATGAAATAACTGCCCATCTAAAGATAATACATGTGGCCGATTTTAACGATTTAGAGACTCCAAGCGTATGCCAAAGTCTCGAAGACAAATAAACGCTTCGGATCATTCAAGAGTATTCAGTGTTTAAGGATGGTCATTACGAAGTACCATTACGGTGGAGAACGACTAAAGGACAATTATCGTCTAGCTTATTCTTGATTGTAAAATATGAGGAGGCATCTTGCAAAGGATCTGACTCAGTTAGCGCGATACAGAGAACGCATGAATGATAACATCATTAAGGGCTACCTCGAACCTTAACACACACATCAATCTAAGTCAGGGAACGGAAGGAAGTGGTATATGCCTCATCACCTTGTTCTGAACCCGAAGAAACCAGAAAAGCTGCGCGTCGTCTTAAATTGCCTAATGTTCCGACGGTGGAAACGTAGCGTAGACAATCCATTTCGCGTTTCCAGGAAGCCGGTTTCACTCGACAGGGTTGCTGAAAGGGGAAATGAATGATTAATCAAAATACGTGTGCATTTTAGGCAAACGACTAAGCAAACTTATGAAGGTTACCATCCTAGCACTTTACTAATCCCATTATCCACAATGCCCAATCAGTTTCCACGCTGAAGCAAGACCCCGAGTGTTGTAATAATAAAAATAATAATATAAAATGAAATTTACCACTTGTTTACCCCATCGACGATAACGAAAGGTTTTAATGTACAGTGGTGATTTAAGAACGATATTCAGTGAACGCAGCGAAGTTAAAGTTGAAGTTGTATATGCAAATCGGTCGTTAGGTCAGCTGACAGCGGTGACTCAGTTACTGTCAAACCAGAGCCTTACATTTCTGTTTAGTTCATGCAGTAGCTTCACATTGCTGTACAGTTCTTATCTATCATTTTGGGGGCTCTCGCTCAACCAGCCGTCGTCTGTCCGCTTACCTTATCCAGATTGAATCCGGC